ATTATTCTATTAAAAATAAGAGCAGCACGTCATCTCTCTCGTACGTCGTGCCACGAAACGTGAAAATATACGTAGAAAAAACAAAAGTTGGGAAAATTAACAAGCTTACCTTCATTTATTAGCATCGTGAATAAGTAAAATAAACTTGAAGTGAAAAAAAGAACTATCTTGACGAAAAACAAGGATTTAATATAAAATTAACGAACTTACTTCCATTTATTATGGATCAAAAAGCTTAAAATGACTGGCATAAAACTTCGAAGAAAGTTAATCATTTTCGAGAAAAAAACAACACCACTTCGTCCAACTATCTCATGTACCATACAACGTGAAAGCATCCGACGAAAAATTAAAATTGCAAAACCAAACTTGCCTCCGTTTGCTATTATCGCCAATAAATATTCTCTGCTATAAAAACTTTAAAGAAAATAAATCCTTCTCTCCGAAAAACAACGTTCTCTTTTCGAAGCTTCCCCTTTATAACAATTTCAACAACGAAAAATGAAATATTTAAAATCAACAAACTTACATCTGTTCGTTGAATAAATATTCTTAGATAGAAAACAAGAAGTAACGAATCTTACTACACTTCTTCGATACACCATCATTTCAACAGTGTATACCATACGAATCTTATAAATTTAATTCACAATTTTTTTCCAAAATTATTATTCATCATCGAAGATATTTCAAGATTTAACTCATTTCGTATACAACAACCTAATATAAGAAATTCCCTTCGCTCTCTATAAACCATCCATAAACACTTTCCTCGACAAACTCCCCAAAGCCTGGAATAAAATAAATCATCGTCCGAAAGTGTACGAAAAGTTGCACGCAGAACACTTCCCGTGAGAACTATCGCGTGCCGTGAGCCATCCCTGAAAAACCGATACGTCGTTACACCCTCCTGTGTCATAAACCATGATACGAATCCGTCTCACATTCATGCCATGCGACTCGACGTTTTACCACGTTTCGATATGTGGCGTTTCTGTCGTACGTGAACAGTTGAGAAATCATGGAACGCACGTAGACCCCGTAGCGCCTAGCTCCCCTTTATAAACACGGGGTTCACGTACCCGACTCCACGGATCGTACGTGTCCGGAAAAAAG